TATAAAACCAGATAATATCAGTACTTATTCCTTAGCTTCAGAACAAGAACATGTCCCCAATGTACATAGCTTCAATCTGTTCCTAAAGTCATATGTAATCAAACTATAGATAAATATGTGGAATCAGATATTGAATAACAAAATCAGCAGGATTACGGTGACTAAACAGGACTATGGTAACTTACACCAGCTGAGTAAGGAACAGCGAAGTGTACCACCCCTTCTACAGTCTAAGAGCCAGCACAAAAACAGGGTCTTGAAAATAGAGAGAGTTATTTGCATATCCATCAGCATTTTAGAAAAAGCATACAGACATGCCTGCTCCTTTCAAAGAGTACCTCTGATATTCCGTATCATTCCGTAATAAAGAAAAAAAACCAAACCTACAAAGAGAAAACTCTAAGCACTGCCCAAATTCTACATTAACACTGAAGATGTAGGAAAGAATAAAAATCAATCAGGAATCTCATTAAAAGCCTTGAAAACTCAAATGGATACAAGAACTAAATTTGTGCTCAGCATTTTGTATTGAACGGAAACGTTACTATACTTCCAAGCACACCCTAAGGAAATAGACTTAACAGGTACTTCAGAAGATATTGAACTTACATCCACACTGCAGAGAAGATCATTGAAACCCCAGACATGATTTGAAGAGCAGCAAAGAGCTTTTACGACCCCTAACCACTCTGAGCTAAGCACCGTGCAGCATGCCGTCAGCTCTGCGCAAAGGTTTGCTATGTCATTAATCCTAGGAAAGAAGAGAAAAACTAATACAGACGCAAGATATTTTGTAAACAATGAATATTTAGGTCAAAGCAGATCAGTGCTTGGCAGAAGAGCTGGTGTTTCCTTACTTAAGGTGGGGGTTTATGTCCAAATGTGATTTATGCCGTTGTACATCTAACGCAGTGTTACCCAGCTGTGGAGAACTGAAGCATCTGGAAAAAACTCAGTATGCGACTTGGACCCCAAAACTTGCATCCATTCAATCTACAGTAGCACAAGGCCTTTATTCTGTGTAAAACCCTACTTTTGTACCACCCGTGTTCGTATCAGCTTCCCTACCTGTGCTGAGCTGGCCAGGAAGAGGGATGGAACACCCAAACCCCTGCTGCCTGCAGCCCACCATGACAGATGACCTGCCCCTCTCTACAGGGACACACTCTGGCCTTTCCTCAGTGCCGCCGCATGAACAGTAGCTCCACCCTCATGCAAAAATGCCACGGGAAAGCGGTGTGTGTGGTGAACAACTCCCCAGCCCCCAGGTCACCAGTGACTTCTCACTGCAGGAGCCCTCCCTCCCTGTGCCAAGCTAGCACTACTGTTTAGGAGGGAGGAGAGTCACAAAAGCGATTGGCATTAATGAATTTTACTTCATAGATGGCATACTGTGTAATGTGTGATTCGGTGTATGATTCAGAGTTATGTAACATTTAAAAAAAAAACAGAGCAGAGTTGACTCATCCCAGTGCAAGTTATTTTTTCTCTGTTCCACAGTGAAACTCGTTTGGCCACATTTAGATGTTCCCCTTTGTTGCTCTTACAAAATCGCTTCCTCTCAGCTGCTCTGCTCTGCCAAGGATGCCCCACATTTCACAGAATGGTTTGGGTTGGAAGGGACATTTAAACGTCATCTAATTCAACCCCCTGCCATGGGCAGGGACACCTTCCACTTGATCAGGTTGCTCTGAGCCCTGTCCAACCTGACCTTGAACACTTCTAGGGACAGGGCATCTACAACTTCCCTGGGCAACCTGTTCCAGCGTCTCACAACTCTCATTGTAAAACATGTCTTTCTTATGTCCAAGTTAAATCTGCCCTCTGCCAGTTTGAAACTGTTGCCCCTTGTCCTGTCACTACAGGCCTTGGTAAAAAGTCTCTCTCCATCTTTCTCATAAGTCCCCTTTATATATTGAAAGGCCACAAGAAGGTCTCCCCCAAATCCTTCTCTTCTCCAGACAGAATAACCCCAACTCTCAGCTTTCTTCACAGGAGAGGTGTTCCAGCCCTCTGACCGTTTTTGTGACCTCCTCTGGACATTTCAGAGATGACTGGGGACAGAGAGAAGGACACAGGAATTGCACACACTTTGGGCAGGAGTCAATCAGAAAAGTAAAGGAAAAATAAAAATCCACAATTTCCTTGAGTTTTGTGATCTGTCAGCAACCTTAAAAGACACTGTCAGCTACTGCTGCATCTAGGCCTCACTATCAAAACCAAGAATTTCTTAATAAAAATTGGAACAGAATTGGAACAGAACACCAAGTTCTGGTGGTTTTGACTGTGTAAGAGGAATAAAGGAGCTGGGGGCAGAGGTAAAGGCTAGATCAAAAATAATCAGTGTCCGTCAGTGTCCATTTAACCCTGCATCACAGACTCTGCAGAATGGAAAACCAGGGTAAAACAGTTTCAACACTGCAGCACTACATTTGCACAAGAAGGCAGAGTTCACGTGTTTACACACTGGAAGGAGGAAGCAACGGAGAGAAGAACATGTGAATTACTAATGAAAACATACTGTCAGAGTAAAACCCTGACGCTGATGTCAAGCTGTTTTACTGGCAAGGCTTCTTCACTACACTTCTTATCAGTACCTTAAGATCATCTAAAAAGATCTAACATAGACTTAAGACCCAAGAAGTGTCATGCTGGATCAGACCAAAGCTCCACCTGACTGTGCAGGAGCCAGCTCCTGCTGGTGTCAGAAGACAACCACAGTAAGACAGTGCTGGACAACCTGTTGAAGTGCAGATCTCAGCCCTAACTCTAATCACTGGAGATAGACTTGAACTGTGCACCATGAGGTCCAAGCTATTCTTAAAATATAACTGACGGCTGTTGCAGCTCTAGTAGCTTCTATCTGATACAACTCTTGATACTTTGTAAAAAATATTTTTGGAAAAAATCTATATATTACCTATAATGACGAATTCCATAATTAATAAATTGCACATGTAATAAATTAAACACTGATTGCATCAGAAGAAGGAAATGACCTAATGCAGAACCTTCTCTCATTTACAGGCTTCTAAGGACGAAAGATTGTGCTGAGCTGTTCTGTCTGAAACTGCACAACTGCTGATACAAAAAGCTTACTGTCTGTCTTAGAGTGAGTTCTTTCTACTTGTTACTCCCTTCTATTAGATTATGGAGATGGATTTAATGAAATAACTCAGAAAAAAATTACTCAATACATTTTCAGCAACCAGAAAGAGCAATGAATGAAAACAATTGCAAAAAAGACACAAAACAAAAAGGCGAAAGGAAACCTCATATATACCATGTAAAACTCCATCCAGTTCCGACTCCAGCATGGTTTGCCTTACCTTCCTGCATCTTGGTGCCCCATGCACACATTCATTAGTGCATTGCAGACAAAGCTGTAGCGGTTGGCTGCATTATCGCTCAGGATCTTGCCCAGCATTGAGTAGTTAATACTGTGAGCAGAAGGATTCTCAAGAAAATCTAGCATGAACTCTGGGTCCCAGAGTAAATTGGAATTTGAAGGCTGAACGTTGCTGTATATCGTTTGCTTCACCTTAGAACAGGCACTACTGAAGACCAAAAAAAAAAAAAAGAGAGAGTTGCCAAAAAGCATACTTTGCAGAGATACTGTTGAACATACCATGTGGGATTAGAAAATCCTAGTTTGGTTACCTTTCTGCACACACTTTCAAACTTATTTTTGATAAGGAGCATCTACCAGAAAATAAGGCTGATACATCAATTTCATTCAAGTTTTCCTGCAAATAAAGTCTCAAGTTTCCAAATTGCTTCTATGACATTTCTGTAACTGAAATTGTGAGCAGCTGGATAAGGACCACACATTCAGTCCTCACTAGCAATAACTTTCTGGAGCATCAGATGCCTCTCCATGAACGATAACAGTGCTTCATAATACTACTCCCCCTCTTTATGTGTTATGGCACAGTGAACTGCAGTCGTGGTAAGCAGAATTAATTAAGGAAAATTGAGAAAAATTATCTAAATTAAAAACTCTACGTTTGGTAATAATGTGACATAACAGACAACTTTGTGAAAGATGAAATCAGTAAACAGGGAAAAGATACTTAAAGGTCATATTTTAACATTAACAATTATGACAAAAGGTTGAGAAATGTTCCAGGCTAGGAATACCTGCATGTTAATTGGCTTTCTTCAGGGGAAAGAGATGTTAGTGAAGAATGCAAATTTCACACACAAAATGTTCCAAGGAGCATTTGTCTCAAGCATTGGGTTTTATACCACAGCTGGAAACAATATCCATACGGACAAACTTCACTACTTATCCCAGCTGGGAAGACTTCCTCATTACTGGAAAAAAAAAAAAAAATCTACTAATTGAAATTAACTCCAAATACATGAAACCTTTGGAATTTTTTAGAACTCCACTGGCCCCAGCATGAAAAGACAGAGGAAGCACTGTGCTGCCTGTAAGGCATTTGTGACCTGAGGAAGGAGCATGATGTGCGCAGCAGTGCCTGGACTCAGGGTTGGAGGGGACCCCTGGGGACACCCTGTTACTGCACAGCCTCTGTACACCAGCTGCTGCTGGTAGGGATGCTCCAGGGCAGGAGCAAGAGATCATTAGCAGGATAATTAATCTCCAAGAAGGATAAGGCCTGATGTTAACCCTTTGCTCTAATAGCCAGTGTAACAGCAAAGAAAGAAAACCAACCAGTGGAAAACAAATACCCCATACCTCAAACATCAGGCACTATTTAAATGGACTCTCATGTACCAGCATCCTGGGCACATATACGACCCTGATACTTTGTCATCACAGCATTTACCTACACTTACGCCATGGGTCACAAAGAAGGGTCCAAAACCCAAACAATACAATACTGAGTATGTGAGCAAAGCAGCCTCTGAAACTGTACTTGCACAAGAAGTAAAGCTGGGGGAGTGGTCAGAAGATTAAAGAAGGGAAGGAATGATTTAAAATAGGAAGTTTAGTGAACGCAACTAAATATACCAAGCACACTAAACCAAAATATGCAGCTCACTCAGTAAAACCCAGTCATGAGAAATACTGCAGATGATAGTAGAAGCCATTTCGAAGCACTGCAATATAAGGAAGGTAAGTCTCTAAATTTCAACATTTATTAACTGTACTTCATTGTCACTTCAAACTGACTTACAGAGAAACAGCTTGACTTACAGCATGCTAAAAAGGAGCTAAAAAAGTTGCTGTGTACAGACAACTGGTCTTGGTTTTGTTTCAACTGTAGCAAGAAAACCAAGAAGAAAACAAGTGTGGCACTATTATAACCTATACACAAATGTTTAAAAAATGCATATATAAATTTTATTTCTAGTTTTCAGAGAATTTCTATCTCCACTCGTCTGAAAAAAGGGCTTCAAATCAAATGCTGTATAGGGCATATTTAATACATGATTTAATACCTTAACTATCTCTGTGTTACTAGATGATGTTTTGATTTACTATTGTAGGTTAGTATTAATAAAAATAGATTTTATTGTGTTACTGAACTTTTGGTTTTAAGTCAAAAAATGAACATACAGTTAAGACACTTCTGTAGTTCTTCTGTATTTTGTATTTCTTTTTCCTAGTGTTTCTCATATTAATGGTACTGTTCCCACGTATTTGTAAACCTATTAAAATATTAATACTGAGAACTCTTTTCCTGCTCCCTATGAAACGAAACCACAAATCCGAAATGCGCAAACCAAAACTAGGTATATAAACTAGGAGGGGAAACAGTAACTGAAGTGGTTTGTAACTCTCACAAGATGTATATTTGCATATGAAAGGTATCCACTCCCCCTTTAAAAAGTAAGAGGCAAAAATACAGCATATGAGTACCTAAAACATTTTTTTTAATTTAAAAATCAAGGAACTGAACATTCGAGCATAAAACTTCACAAACTCAAACATGTTTGTGCCTCTTCCCACATCAAAGAAAATATAATAGAATATTACAGCTGCGTCAGCTAAGATTTTATTTTCCATCCAACATTGTATGTATTACAGCCAATTTGCTAATGCATTATAGAAACCGAATCAGTCACATCACAGTCTGTGACAGCAAAGGTGTGTGGGGAGGGGTCCGATGCTGCGCAGCGCAGCTGCCTCGGCAGCCGGCCTGATGCTGTTGGTCCCCGCTTCTCTCACCCCAGGCCTGCTCGCTGCCTGCGAGCACTGCTTGCTGCAGCAACCCACTAAGCTAGCCACAGCGCTGCAAGGAGGGCTCAAACCTCTGCTCCTCCACAGCAGGTACTGGCACAGCGCGAGGACTTCACAGGCTCAGGACAATGCACTGTGCTGCCACGCTGGCACGGGCAAGAGAATTGCTTCAGTGAAGGTAAAGCAGCAAAGGCAACAGCGTATTTTCCAGGGAAGGCAAACTAAACTGAAACCAAGGCAGTCTGCATCAGTCTACAGTCTAGGGAGTGGTGCAAAAAATCCCATTACCACCCACCTGAAGAGGTCTCCAAACTTGCTTCTCAGGTGACTACAGGACACGTACAGATCATAGAGGTAAGCTAAAATACACCTTTCTGGGGAGGAACACTCTGAGGGATTAACGACGTGCTTTACCACCCCGCACAACCTGCAAAAGTAAAACCATTCTGAGTTTGTTCCAAGCACCTTACAAAGGTGTATCGTATTGTTACATATCATATAAACCCCACCATTAGCTGGGCAACGTGATGACAGACCTTGCATCTACCAGCTGACAGGGCTCATGTGAAGTTTGGTGTCACCTGTATGCTTGCCTGGCGCCAGGCAGGACACAGAGGCACTCAGGGAGCTCAGGGCAGAATGCGGTGAATGGGTAGGAAATCAAGATACACGACTCCCCCCTTTTCCCAAGTTACAAAGCGTGCAGGTCCCACCAGCACCCAGCAGTGGGGAGCAGGCTGCAGATGTGAGCCACCTGAGCTCACTTACAGCCTTCCAATAGCAGTACAATAGTTGGTCTCACTACCTTAACCTAAACACATTTTTTGCTTAAGAGGGAACACCAAAGATAAATTTTGGGAAATTGTAGTTGCCACAAACCCTTCAAAGACTTGTGCGGTTTGCTCCGAGTTGAGGATGAGGCAGGCGTGGTAGCGCCGCAGAACGGCGACGATGCAGACGCACAGCCCTGTTGTGTAGCTTCCTGCCAGGCTGGATGACTTCAGCAGCAGCTCTGCCTCCACAACGCTCAGCTCGTTCAGCAGCTGAAAACACATACGCAAAAATAATGAACTGAAAATTAACTTCTAAGTTAAACATGTAAAATAGGTACAAAAAATAGATTAAGGAAAAACTATGGCAAACAAAATGAAATTTCTTAATGACTACAAAACAACGGAAAGAGGGAGCAAAATAAACTTTTAAAGCATAAAAAACATCCCTCAAAACTACTCTTCAGAAATACATGGAATTTACGGCACCCAGATGCTTTACTGTGTAATATAATGGTTCAGTCTGAAACAGTGAAGCACAAAGTATTTTAGGATGGGCTAAGATAATCCAGAATTTTATTAATTTTGAAGTTTTTAAAAATAACACATATCTATTGGTTCTCCGTCACTGTCAAAGCAAGACAGAAGTGGAAACATCTGGCACTGTTTCAGAGGTCAGGAAACTGAAACAGATAAAAGTGTATGGCAGCAAATCAGGGGAATTTGCAGTCCAGGTCTTGGGTTCTTTTAAGGTTTTACAGAAGCTGTATCACAGCTTTATTTGACATAACCTCCCAAAAAAAAAAAAAAAAAAAGAATGTTTACTTGTATTGCAAAGTCTATAAGTCCATTGATATTCAGTGCTGGCTCCATGAGATCAAAGATGAGCTGTATATGGTGAGCCAAGGGAAGATGATACGACGTTCCTGAGGCAAAACTAGTTATCTGTTCGAGAACGTTACTGGAGATCTATGAAAATAAATGTTGAAAAGTCATATGATGACTGAGGGCTTCTCAGACACACTAGCACTCCAAAAATCCTATTTTATAAATGGCAATAGCAAGTGACAACATTTTGCAGATAAAAGCGCTAACAACTCATGCATGAGTATATCTATTACTCTACTATCCTGCGAGTCAGTCATAACGCTGTTTTTATTTTCAAAATTGACAACACAGAAAATGCTGTTCCGCTGCTTTACAGCTGAGTCAAACTGTTCTTAACATCTACAATACTGATTTTTATTCTGTTGGGTAATTTGCTTTAAAGAGGAAGCAAAATCATGTTTCTTTTCATCTTACTGTATTGGGATTTTTTTTAATGGTTTTCAGATAATTAATAACATGTTATCCTGAAAACAAAACATGTAATAAATTCACTCAAAGGACCAGATCTAAAGATGTCTTATAAATTAAGTACCAAACTTAGTAACTCTTTAACTTTGTTTCTTATGTTGGCCTCTGGTTATTAAAATGTACATAAAAACAGTAACACCTGACAATGTGATAAAATCCTATGCCATTTGCACACTTAAAAGTCCTAATATTAGCCAGGAAAACTAGGCTTGTCATTTAAAACAGATTATTTATGTTTTCCAGTCAGCCACTGATACAGCTTTTTAACAGTAAAGGTTGACTATAAATTCTAATATCCAGAAAAGAACAAAACGTGTTATCCAGCAGCTTCTCAGAGACATACTCAGTTTGTTGCACAAAACCACAGAGGAGTTCACTGTCCTTCATAAACACAGATACAGTAACACATCTTGTACATATGCAACTATCTAATTTACCAATGAGCCCTAAACAATCCTGTTAATGGAAATTTATGTAAAATCTTTTCCAAATTTTTCATTAAAAATCATGACATCTATAATAACCCAGAAAGCTTCTTGCAAAACAAACAACATTCCCCCTCCCCCAAACAAACCAACCAAACACCCAAATATCTACTGAAGCAGGTATTTTAGAATACCAAGGCAGCATTTCTTCTCTTGCCTTTGAAGAAGCAGTGCACTGAAAATTCTTGGTACATACAAAACACTTTTAAAAAAATCTAGATTTGCTTCCTATTTGATATCTCTAGAGCAGAAAGCAAAAGGCTACAATTTTATACAAGGAAAGTACCTGAGATGTCACCTGATGTTGATCAAAATAGGACAGTTGCTGTAGTTTTGTGAATACAGTCTCTAGTGTCGGAAATGCTTCTTGTTTGGTCTTCCTGGCTTTTTGCCCTTCATCCCCAACTTAACAGACAAAAAATTATTTTGGTCATTTTATATTTAATGGAGCGCTAGTAGTTTTGCATTATTACTGATTTAAAAGACAATAAAAATCTTAATAAGCTTTACACATGACTACATAAAACCCTACTTGCCTCAGTTTTCCATTATATTTGGGACAAATATATGCCACAGCATATAACAGTATCAAAGCTGCTTTGAGGTTATTCCAACACAAAAAGGTGACACCCAAGAAAAACTGAAAAACAGTCATACAGTTTTACTAGGAGTGTAAGGAATACATATCACTCACTGGCCAGTATCTCATATTCCAGGCTTTAGCCTAATGCAAGTGTTTACAGCCAAGTCGTTACAACAGAAAATAGGGATTCCTAACCACAGTGGCCCTCTGCTGTCCTGGGGCAGCCGTAAGGCAGGCCAGCAGATTGCACTTGGTGCTGTGGGACTCTGGTCGGTACTTCACCCAGTGAAGGGGAGGAAAGCCAAATTACGTGATGAACATGCATGGCTCCAGACAATGTGCTGAGAACCTCACAGCTCCCCTGATCTTTGATACAGGCTACCATAGAGTAGCATTAAAGCATTTACCACCCATTTCAGTAGTACTCTTCTTATTCAGAATTTTGAGGATGTCTTTGGTAATTTTCTTCAGCTGATGCCTTGCTTCATCACGCTCCTTACCAACGCCATAAAGGAGAATCATGCGCTGGTTACACTCATGACTTGAAGACTCATCCTGAAAAGACGAGATAGGAGTGAAGTCTCTTTTCTTTTTTCTGTCATCACCTGCAGAAACCTGACCCGAGTAGCCCAGACTGCAATAAACAATAACTAACTCTGTCACAAAAAGTACCTCCTGTGGTTATCAGCGTGGAAGAAACAGTGCCAAATGGAATCACTAGAGAGTAGGGTAAAAATACAGAGTGAAAAATGTATTCTGATACTATGAATTCTGTATGTGTCTGTAAGGGCAGAGTCAGATGACTCACATGGATGACCCTCCTACCTGTCCCCTGGATTGATATTCAGTAGCAGATTAGTAAATAGAAGACAGATGTCTAGAAATATTTCTCTGATTATGTACAAGCCCATTGAAAAAAAGATGCAGCCCAACTCCTAAAATTATATTTTGCACATCCTAAAGAAATTGAAATAATATAGTTTACTTAAATTGTAACTGGCTATATTTAGTCTTTTAATAAAATGTATCGTACAATGTTGATACGCTGTATATAACTTAAAAAATTAGAGCACTGCTCTGCAAGTCATATAAGGTATAAATATTTTGTTCAGTAATATACTTACCTTCTCCAAACTAACCAATCACTACTTCTTTCAACCACTTAAAAGTTTTTATGAAATAAGGCCATGTACAAAAATAACACTGAAGAACCACAAGACAAAAAGGTAGTAGACGGGAGCGCAACTCTATGCTCAGAAAAGTTGCAGTCTTACAAAATACATACTCTCTTAAAAATAGTGACTGTTAGTAGGTCAAAAGCAGGAAGTAAACCTCTATTTATTTTAAAAATACTATTTCTCTCTCTCTTCTAGAAGAAACAAAAGCAGAAGCACTGAGACCGTCACCTGGAATTTGCTGCTGTCTCTGGCTAAGAAACCAGTTCAAAGCAGAGGAAGGTCTAAGTCTTAGAACTGGGATGCACAGCTGCTCCTCCAGCCTCTGCTTGGTCCGTGGGATTTACACATGAACACTCCTGCCTGCTCATGTGGTGAAGAGCCAGAGGAATTGCGAACGACCCTCTGTCAGCAACACTAGCTTCCCATTGCAGGAAATACCCAAGCGTTTCATCGCTTCTCAACAGTGCACAACGGTAATCTTCTCTTTGGTTTTTGGGTGGAGGGGAAGGTGTCTGATATTACATGCTTAGGCAATAGTTATTTCATTAGGATTAGACTTGGCAGCTGAATCCATTATGTGCTTCAAAGCATAAGCCAATTTATTTCTATCTTATAGATAGAAATAAAACTTTGCAGCTCTGTAAGCAAGATGTCAGGGTTCTGACACCTGCACAGGCGCTCACTGCAGAGCTCGGGAGGGTGCAACTCCTGCGCAACTCCTGCGTGTTGGCTCGAGTCAGTGGAGTTTTAAATTTATTTGCAACACAGCACCAGTAAGGTGACTGATTTAGGAAAATGACAGGTTAAACTGTCAATCTAGCAGTAAAGGTATACATAAATTACATAAATAAAGCTACAAATTACTTCAGACTTTGCTGGCAAATGTGTAACAACTGAAGTAAACGGACACCGTTAGATGTCCAAGTGCTGATACGTAGGGTTGAAGAGCAGATACTCCTCTCTTACTTTCTCCCCCTTGGAAGCAACAAACTTTGCGGGGTGCCACACCCACCCTTTGAGTACCCGGGTGAAATGGTGTCAGCCTGCAAGCAGCTCTTCCCAGGGTCTGAGCAGGGGCAGGGAGGGCAACACAGAGACCAGCTTCAAGGCCAAGCAAAAGCAAGGCTGAAGTAACACCACTGGGAGAGACAGACGGACAGCCAAGCAAAAATAAAATAAAAAGGGGCATTTGATTCCTCTTACTTCAGGCTGACACTGTTAAATCTGCAGTCAAAATGAATTTAAATGCTATTCCTTTCCACACTGAGAAAGATGCAGAAAGGGATGGTTCTCCCTCCTCCTTGGTAGGAGAGAGGCAGTTTGGGCAGACATGTGCCAGATGAGCCAAATCTCAGCCCGTGCGGCACAACGGCCTCGCCACCAGCAGTGTGCCGCCACAGCCC